GCAGTCGTATACGAGGCTTGTCGGAAAATGTAAATTTTGCTTAACCTTTACCTTTATTTTTTACAATATCTACAATCATTATTAAGAAAAGTTAATCCTAATAGAAAACTACTGTCAAATATCCAATCAATTTTATCCAATTTTATCAAGAACAACTTTTTTTCCATGAAACCAGTATAAAAAAGTTTCCCATGTGGTGTCGTCTTAACACACTGTATACAGAGATTTCTCTACATTACAATGTCGTTGCATTTTTTATATTCGTCATATTATCAGATTTGGCTGAAATAATAACCAATTGATCTTAGGTATATATAGAAAGAAACATTTCGGTTATTAAAATATCTAGTTCATTGGTGTACAAAATAAACAGTATCGGACCCAAAACAGAACCTTGAGGAACTCCTATTTCAACTGCTTAACTCTCATTCTCAAATGTCTCCTATCTTTCAAAAATGAGGAGATCCAATCTAAAAGTACGCATATAATGTTGTCAATAATTTATTATGATCCACACAATCAATCGCTCGCGTGAGGTCACAAAAAGTACCTAGAGGGCATTCCCTTTTTCAGTGAATTCAATTAATTTATCAAGCACGCATATAACAGACCTCGTAGAATACCATGTATATTTTTTTGGGTTATAATTATTGTATGCTATTTGAACGAAATATTTCGAGCCATATTTTTATTACATTTTCGCAGCAATAATACCCAGCTCTGGTAATACCTATTAATTTACATTATTGACATTTATCAATTATTTCGCATCGTCAAACCGTGAAATACCAATACTCTGAACTCGAACAAAGCACGCATCGTGTCATTAAAGCTGTAGCGCACATTATTGAGTTTGTTCTCAATTTCAACTTTAATTAAATATGTTCGCCACATGTGCATGCATATTGTACCACAAACCGCAGCAGATTTATAAATAATTTTATATGTGTGTCTCGACAACACCAAGAACCAACTCGACATTGGGCAATGCGTAATAGGAACATTTCTCGGAAAGAGTAATATGTTCAACTTTTAAATTTTGGCTTTTTGTCTGGGTCGGCGCGATCAAATGTCAACTCTTTGTTCGTTTTGTGGGCAGCGGCGTAACAATACGCTTCGACACATGCTACAGAGGGCTAAAAAATTAAAATATCAAAACGCTGAAAAATTAAAAAAAGGAAATTGCCAATCTCTTTTTAGTAAAGTAACAGCAGTTTTGTTAAGAACGAGGTATTGTTAAACAAAATGTTTGAAAAATATCAACTCCGTTCGTTTTGTGGTCTGTAGCCAGTGGCGTAACAAAAAAAAAAAGGAAAATTACTCATTAAAAGCCACGTAAGACTGAAGAAAAATTTAGATCTATTGATCAATGCTGAAAAGCTTAGAAAATAACTACCAGGCTTTTTTGGATTAAAAGTGCTAGCAAAATCATGAGTACCAAGTATATTTATAGAAATATGCATAGAATGTAATTTTTAAATTGTATTTTTCCTCCTGACTACATGACTAAATAAACTCTTATGCTGACTGTACACAGAACAACATGCTTTGTAATAGATTTCTTCAAAACATAATACATATGTAAAATATAATAATCCTTAAAATGGTAGCTACCATTGAACATAGCTTAAGATCATTTTTAACAACAGAAAAAAATGAAGAAAGACTTGTTAGTCCTTCAAAATATGTAGGACATTGGAGAATATAATGAATTTATTCGCAAATCTGTGCTGCTAAATGTGTTGTAGAATGAAATGAAGCGTATTCTTATTAGCTTACTTTCCACATCATCTGAACATAAAACGACATGGTTTGAATTTCAATATTAAGAGACTTTTACACTTGCACTGTCGACCAAAATCCTCGTATTTCAGCCACAAACTATGTGTGAAACAAACAAGGATTTTATATCAGATATGGTTAAGATATCGTATGAAATTGTTTCGTCTTCACAATAATAGTATATTCTTTTAATAATGAAAAGTATATCTACATATGTCCGTATGTATTTCAGAAAATGTCGGTATAATTTAAGTAGATGTCATTTTAATTCTTTTTAATAAATTTAATTTCAGATTAAAACAGAATTTATAAAGACTATTTTTTTACCTTACGTTTTGATGCAGCAAATTGTAATTTTGAGAAGAGTAAATCATCAACGAGTTGCAATGTAATCTACGCCACTGTTTTGATACCGCAGACTGGTTTTAAGCTTTCGATATTTTCTTTCTCTTGGAGCTTTATACCTGGGTTAACCTTGTCGCATCCGGTCAGAGAAGGCTTATATATTCGGATAAATTCTTTAAAGCGCAGTTTAGTAGAGTTCATCGTGAGAGCATTCATAACACAACATTTTGTATCTCAAAAATAAAGAGAGGAAACCTAACTACTCAATGATTACAATAAAATGACAATTGAAATACAATTTATGTATGACTTTTTGCTGTGTTCCCCACAACATTAATGTGAAATTATACTTTTTTTAATGAAATAAATAATCAAATAATAATATGGAAACCTGTAGTTATTTCAAAAGAACGCCATTTTATGGATTTTTCTCCAAAATGCAATGTTATAGTTTTCTTTTCATAAATGAATTCACACAAAAAATTCATGAATCAAGAAAGACGAGAAATGTTGAAAAATCATATGGAACTGGTGTTTTCTTGAAACGACGCATGGTGTCATATACAGAACATATAATTCCAACAATCGTTTCCCACTTTCAACATGTTACTATAATTGTAAGATTTTAGTACCAGAACAACGCCGAGGTGACAGCACTGTACTGCGGTTAACAGAGTTATCACGATCAAGGCCAGTGACATTACTGCAACTCATCCCATCCGAAAGTCAAACAAAGAATGGGCGAATTATCATTTTCCGCTTAAAAACGAATTGTTCACTAGGCGCATCACACTGTGACGCTTCCGAAAAAACTGTTAACTTTTTACCGTGATCTCAAAACATCCTGCCCATTATTAACAATACAGCGTTAGACGTTACAGATGATGAAGACGAAAGACAAAGAAAGTTTCTTATTTAAATTTTTTCAGCTGGCAAGTTGTATTCATTCAACAAATGTTTTAAGAAAAAGTATCGACTAAATAATAACAATAAAACATTTGAGATTTTGATTTGGTCCTTTTAAGTCTCCGGTTTAGTATAACGGTATAGCGATAAGATTAAATTTGGGTCAGTTCGTGTTGATGTAACCTTTATATATTTTGGGATACATTTTGTACTTGTTTGTAAATCACGGTTGTGTATATTTTATAAGGTCTGGCGTATACAAAGCATACAATTTTAATTTATAGTTGTTACGATGTCAATTGGAACCTGTAAATCTTAAAGCACAGGACCGTATGCACTTCTCCTGAAAATTCTTCTTATGCTTTGACCATGATGTGTCCCGTAATTTATACTCGAATAGCAATTCGGCGAGTCCGGTATTGGTAAACTAGTCCGCCTGGTCGTCAAAGCAAAACTGTATTGGTCCACTAGGTCGTAAATAAATTTTTTGTATGGTACACGGGTTCATTTAGCTTTGCCGCTTTGCCAGTGCAGTGCAGAGCATATGCGGGGTATGTTGTTTGTTGGTATAATACGTATTATTATTTATTAGTTGATATTATTATTTGTTCATATCGTAACCAGTAAAGGGTAATAGTTATTAAAATAAATGTTATATGTAATTATCTAGTAATTTAGCGTGGCTCTCTGGACACTCTTTGAAGCGGAGGATAACGAAATAACTCGGGGAAATCCCCAAATAGTGGAACCGGTTTTTGTCGAAAGCATCGAAGCAAACTGAGAGTTTAAAAACAAAGATTTACACGTACAAAGTCAACGTATTATATTAAATAATATATGAATGTTTGAAAATTGAAAATAGTGAACAATGTGATAAAATAGTTAGGAAACGGATTAACGAATTAACTAAGATATCAAAAACGATCCGTAATTAAAGAAGGATTGATCACGGTATAAAGAGGGAACGGAAAAATACAAAATTAACGAAAATTGACGATTTTACCAGATGTAATGCGGCGCACAATTTTTAATATGTATAAAGAAAATAAAGTTCCTACTTTAAACATGATTCGAGATAAATTAAGCTATTATCCTGATTATAATTATAAATCTTTAGATATTTTACGACATGCTTTATTACAATGCGATTTTAAACATAAAAAAACTTGACAATCGTATGATAATTATATTTTAGTCGGAAGTGTACGTCTATACGTCAAAGGAAGTGGTAAAGTGGAAAAAAGTAATACGCAGTTATATTATCATGCAGTGGTCCTAGATCTTTTTCAGTTATACATGGTTTCTACTCAAACGAAATCTAATTCCGATTTCTCTATTATTTTGTTATTATTACTTTGCCCATATTGTTGTTATTAATTAATGAAATTGATTTGTGGTTTTAATTAATAAAATAGTTTGACATCCCTGATGTTATAACTGTTCAAAAATTCGTCCACCGACATGTAACCACATTTCGGCTCGTCTCACCTACTTCCTACGAACTAACACAAATGTTGTCTTGCTTCACCATTACACAAATGTTGTCTTACTTCAGCATAAATAAAAAGATATCCCATCAACTCCGAGTTGCTATACACGCAAGCCATTTTTGATACTTGAAAAATTAATGTAAACACTATCGCAAAAACATTAATCGGATTTCAGTATTCGGAATCGCCTGGGGCCAGGTGGAGAGAAAGAGAGCGCATTGCGCACAGCACACGCAGCCTCTCGAAAATAGTTGAAAAATTAATAAAAATTTGTCCCTTTAATTCACATTATATTTTACTTTTTTTTCTTCTGCCAATCCTATCTGAGGGGTAATAATTTTTAAAGTTCAAAATTATAACTAAGATCACTGACATGGAACTGGGGGCACAATCAGTCGGAAAATGCGCTCCTTCAATTCTGACGTTTTATTCTATTTATATTTACTTTTATAGCTGACATTTTTTTTCTGTTTTCAGTTGAGGATATCGTTCATAGAGGCAGGCCCCGAAATATACGAATACCCCTCGGAGACGTCCCTGCTGGTGGATGATTCACCCCATTCGCCCGCACAAGCACAAGTCGGTCACACAGTTCCTATTCTTGGTGGTGAGTATCAGGTCTTGAAGGTGGATGCCTTACAAATACGTAACGGTGAGGTTTCCGCGCGACGTCTGATTTAATTAACGATGCAAGCGACAGCCCCGATGGTGGTTCGTGACATTTAGCAATTACTTAATTAGTTTCGTTAAGAGCATGATGTCACTGTCGCACCAGATAAGGTTGTTTGTAATGCGGGATATTCGCTGGATTTGGATCCTGAGATTCCTTTGTGCGAAGTTAACAATGCGTATAGGGTGTGGCAAAAAAATATGTTCCTTCAGTGTTAATTCACCAAAAGAATTAATGTAAATGTTCATGGAATGAGGTTGTTTCCATAGTAGATCCTAATGCCATCCCATCCTTATCTTGGACACGCTGTATATTATGAATTCATCAAAATTTTAAAAAAATAAGTACACTGATCGATCCTACTTCTTGATTTTTTTATCTAAAAAAATTTGTGGTTATTTAAGACACAAAAAGGTATACTGTCACCAAGTTTTGTCAAAATTAAATTATTTTTGCGGAAATAAGAAATAAAAAACGAAAAATAAGAAAAAAACAAGTTTCTCGGATTTTTTAAGGTTGTCCTAAAAAGTGACCTCTACAAAAGTTGTAGATTTTTGCATGATCTACAACTTTTGTATAGGATACTTTTTTGTTTGACGTCAACTTTCGCCAGAAATCCCAATGATACATTTTTTACAGTTTTTCAACCCCCCAAATCAACCCTCCGCCACCCCTGCTCACGCATTTATTTTTTTCGTTTGTTATAAGCCCCTTTACCATTTCCACTTATAAAAGTTCAGGTAACAATTTTCTTTTTCACTCTAAATGAGTTATTTTGATCGGTTTATCTATAGTGTGAAATTTGAATTTCTTGTGGTAATTTCTAAAATTTTTTTCAAGTCATGCTAAAATTTTTTTGGTATTGGTAGGTAATTTTTTTGATTTGTGTACCAATATGAAGCACAATTGTAGCAGGTAAAGGGACCTGTTGTAATAAAATGTAAAACTTTTCCAACAAATAATACCAATTTGTCATCACCCTGAAATATATAGCAACCTTGCAAGTTTTTTTTATAATTATAGGTTAAAGCTTCAACATTAGCCTGTACAACATCAAACTATATAAAAACATTGATCGACTGACTGTGACTGAAAAATATTACAGATGTTCTTCGTAGTAATAATTGTATTTAAAAAAAATCAAAGTTGAAAATGGAAAGTCTAATATAGACATTTGATAAGAAAAAAATTGACGCACTGGGCAGAATCTATAAATCATCTAAAATAATGAAATTAATCAGTGACATTGAAAACCTCTAAAATAGTTATAAACAATTATGTAAGAAATATTTTTAGAACGTTTGCAAACTATATAAAAATAGTTGTGAGATTTAAACATGTGTTCTATCATAAATTATATAATCAGAGAAAATAATTACAAAGTTTTTATATACTTAATTACCCTAAAGATATAATTTAAATTTGTTTTTAATTTTTTTCGGTATAGTCAGTAAATTATACTTTTTTACACAATTCAATTAATTTAGAAGATTATTATTTTGGGCTTTGGTGCTGTGCAGCAAATAATTAAAATATTTCGTAAGGTTTCATGTGAAATGTTAAGACTAGCGTTTTAAGGACAAGAAATAACACTTTTAGTAAGACTTTCAGCATTTGACTAGTTTACGGTGCTCGCTTTCTAAATGATATCAAATAGAAGGCGTTGGAAAAAGTGGAAAAACAATTATGCATATCGCGATATAGAAGAAATTTCGTTATGCAAAGGCATACAAATTTCATATGGTTGGAAAAAGAATAAAAAATATATATCAAAACACGCAAAAAAATTTATACAATCCTATCCACCACTCATGTAGTGTGACGGAAAGAAATTTTGTACGTCAGTATAAAGAAAGTAACATCCCATTTAAAAATATATATGGGACGTTTGAGGTCTCAAAATGTTCATCTGGTTAACAGCTTTCGAAAAAGTTCTGGCCTTTTCAAAAATCCAATATGGCGCATAAAATATGGCCACATTTTCATGGCACATTCAACAAAAACGACAGTGAAAATGTTCTAATTTGTGAAATATACCTCCAAAAAGCACGTAAAACTCATTCTGCAACTTTTTATTGAGATTCTGAAGGAATTCCAAATTCAAAAATGGCGGATCCAAAATGGCGGACATTATACCACCACCAAACCGATTGTACCGCAACAAATGATTTTAGATCAGTTTAAAGTATCGATATGGGGGTTTTCGGGGTCACTGAATCTTATTCTAATCTCGAAATTTCAAAATTCAAAATGGCGGATCTAAAATGGCGGACATTATACCACCACCATACCCATTGTACCACCACGAATGATTTTAGATCAGTTTAAAGTATCGATATGGGGGTTTTCGGGGCCGCCGAATCTTATTTTAACCTCGAAATTTCAAAATTCAAAATGGCGGACATTGTACCACCACCTAACCCATTTTACTGCAACAAATGATTTTAAATCAATCTGAAGTATCGATATAGGGGTTTTGAGGCCTCTGAATCTTATTTTAATATCGAAATTTCAAAATTTAAAATGACAGATCTAATATGGTGGACATTACCCCCACCTAACCCCTTTTATCACAACACTGCCATTATTCCATGGCTAGAAATTGGCCTCTATGATTTGGGATCGAGGGGGATTATCCCTCTTTATCCTGCCTCATCTCGTGTAGGCCTGGACAGCCTTCGTAGGTGGGCCCCATCCGTCGTCTACCCCGACTGCAAATGCGGCCGTTGTAGGCGCTTTGTGGGACCTCCTTTTGCCCTGGCTGGGCCCCGCCGGCTAGGGCCCTTTCTTCTGGCGCTCTTCTTGCTTTGCCGGCTCGTCTGATTTAGATTAGTTTAAAGTATCGAAATGGGGATTTGTGAGGTAAATGGTTCTAAATGTATCATCGGAATTAGTATTTGTGTGCATGATCCTTATATTTTTCTGGTCTATTAGATTCAGAATTATCTGTCTGCGGTTTTTGTACATATAACTTTCTATTGATGTATATCTAGCAAAATATGAACTTTTTTTAGTACAAGTAGTTCTGGAATTGTTTTAGATTATGGTAATGGTAATGTAAATTGAAAAAAAAATAGTAAACCCAAAAACGATTCATATTTTCATCCAAAAGAAACAGTTTTCTTCAGTTACCTTCAATTAAAGCAATATTATAATTAATATATTTTTAATGCTATGATGAAAGTTTGTAATATTTATTGAGCTGGTTTTCCAGGATCTTCTCTTGCAAACTACACCCCTAAGGGCAGGGAGGACTTCCTGCCGGGGGTGACAAGAAGCGTCCAACCGAGCATTCCAGCAAAACCCGACATCACCGAAGTGGACGCGGGTTCGGAGCTGATCATAGAGGAAATCGACAAACCTTTCAGCTCCGGCACCAACGCAGACATTCTTTTTTAAGCTTTACCACAAATATACAATTACTTTTGTACATTGAATTCCATAAACACATTCCTACATTGGAAGATATCACATTTTGGAAGTATTTACAAATTTGTATGTTTATATTTATTAGGTATTAACGATGAGTATAGTTGCGAACTGCTTTTACGGTTTAAAACATGTATTTTTTCTAAGTTGTCATCAAATTAGATCTTTGTGGCATTAAGATAAGCGCCGTGCCTCCGGGCACGGCACGATTTACTTTTTAAAAAAGTTTATTTATCCACTGTATGTTATTTGCTCATTTACTGAACTTATGTAGTGTAATTTTTTTTTATTGTTAATCAATTTACCGCCAACGTTATGACACGTAACTAATTGTACTGATCAATTTACCCAACCCCCTGTATATTATTTTTAATCCAGCTTAAGTTTAGGATTTAATTTCTTTAATGTTAATTTAAAAACTGTGATTTGAGAAAATGTAATGGACCAACAAGAAAGGTTATGTATCGCTTTTTTATTAATGTAGTCCGCCTGTGTTTCGTTCGATGATTATTTCGTTCATAGTCTAATGAGATAGGAGTCGTACGTGAATGAAGTGCTTTGAAGATTCGTTTTAATCAGACTAGTATTTATATGTATTGTGAACAAACTGTATAACTGTTTTTTTTTTTTAAATAAATACAGTATTAAATAGCATTTACTTATTTTTTTACGTAATAACGGTAGATTACTTAAATAAACCCGAAAAATAACACTAAGAGGACTTCAAGCTTATACAGGGTGATTCACAAATGGTGACCAAAAATTAAACCTCGTATTCTTTGAGATAAAAACTTTATAGGGAACACTCCCCTTAAAATTCACCCAAGAATATGAGGTTTCATTTTTGGTCACCATTTGTGAATCACCCTGTACAGGATGTAACTTTACGTGGGGCTAATTTTTTAAGGGTAAATTATTTTTTTCAATTAAATAGTCAACATATAATTCGTTCTTTAAACTACACTTAAATTCTTGTCTACGCCGTCACTGAGCAGCACCCGGAAGTAGTTGTATGAGCGCACTTATCAATATTGCCAGTTGTTATACAGGGTGGCCAAATGAAAATGAAACAGAGCCATTTTCAGGAACTGCGTCAAGATTGTAGAAAAACGCTCAGACCCGTCGATTTTAGATTAAAGGGGGACATTCTTTGGTGGTATTTTCGAGTCCGCCACTTTCACCACCAAGCAAGGGTAAGCTTCACCCCAAAATATTTCAACGGCATTGGGGGTTGAGTAATACTTCTTTTGAAAGCTCTTACAATTCTCTTTACAACAGACTTTAAATTTTATAATTCCGCCCAATACTTTGATAAAAAATGTACATTTTAAAATTTAAATTATGTTTAGTTGCTTACTTACTACTTAGTTGATTAAATGTTCAAACTGATGACCGCCCGCTTCCATACAAGAATAAAGATTTTGTTCGAAACGTTCACGCACATTTCGAAGCATTTCCGGAGTGATTCGACGGCATTCGTCGACGATTCTTTGACGCAAATCTTCCAACGACGCTGGCTGTGTTATAGATTTTACTTTTCAGGTATCCCCACAAAAAGAAATCAAGAGGCGATAAATCCGGTGATTGTGGAGGCCACTCAATGCTGCCTCTTCTCCCAATCCAATTCCGTAGAAAACGTTGGTCCAAATACTGACGGACAATTAACGCATAATGCGGAGGAGCACCGTCCTGTTGAAAAATCAAATGATCTTCATCATACTCTGGAACATTTTCAATAATATCAGTCAAGGCAGGGTCAATAGCGTCTTCCAGTAATTGCAAATACATTTGGCCAGTCAAATTACCAGGTAGAAAAAAAGGACCCACCAGCCGGTCACCGAAAATTCCAGCCCATACATTTAATTTTTCCGGTTGCTGTGTATGCACCTCGTGAAAAACTCTTGGGTTTGAATCGGACCAATAGCGGCAATTGTGACGATTTACCGTCCCGTTCAAGAAAAAACTGCATTCATCAGAAAAACAGATGTTAAAAAGGAACTGTGGATCGTTCCCTGCTCGCTCACTCATTATTTCGCAAAATTGCAAACGGCGGTCATAATCATCCTCATGAAGTTCCTGGACTAAATGTATTTTGTATGGATGGAATTTATTCTTCTTCAAAATGGTTTGTATGCTAGTTCGATTGATCCCAGACACAGATGCCAGCTGCCTCGTACTTAATGTAGGATCAAGATGAACTTGTCCCAAAACTGCAACTTCACTAGCTTCATTAACTATAGGTTTTTCAATTTCTCGTTTTTTATTGGCCACGTTCCCTGTCTCTTGAAATTTTTTTACTAACTAGAACATACTTCCTCCTGACATGTCGATCTTGATGTTGTTCATTAAATAGCTGAGCTGTTCTATTCGCATATTTATTGTTCATAAAGTAAAGCGAAATTATAACTACCTACCCTTTCCGCAATGGAATAAACCATAGTGTTTAATTTTCAAAAACACAATTAAATAAACTACCAACCAACGCTTCCAAATAATACTGGAAAATAATTTGGAATCCACTAATTTTACGTTCATTGTGTGTGTATAGCATTCATTTCTGTTTTTTACAATTGCGTTTTTTTACGAGAGTGATAACAAATTGCCAAAAACCAATGTAACGCAAGAAATATTAAATTTATACCATTGGCGTACTTAACTCGAATGACTGACATTCTTACCGTTACTAATTGTTTGTACATAAGTTTCAACTTTAAAATCAAAATTCTTAATAAGTATTGGGCAGAATTATAAAATTTAAAGTCTGTTGTAAAGAGAATTGTAAAAGCTTTCAAAAGAAATATTACTCAACCCCCAATGCGATTTAAATATTTTGGGGTGATGCTTACCCTTGCTTGGGGGTGAAAGTGGCAGAGTAAAAAATATCAACAAAGAATGTTCCCCTTTAATCTAAAATCGATGGGTCTGAGTGTTTTTCTACAATCTTGACGCAATTCCTGAAAATGGCTCTGTTACATTTTCATTTGGCCACCCTGTATATTTAAACCAACTGTTAGAGAGTGAAACTACAATGGAATAGTACATTGTGTAATGAGTGGGGAAAAGTTGCCAATAGCGCCACGCGGACGCAGTTGACGCACGAGTGAAGCGAGTGCGGAAAGCGCCCAAGTGGCACTATGGCAACTTTTCCAAACGAGTTGCACATACTATTTTCTATCACAAGTGAGAGTCGTTATGGGACCTATAGCATAGGAGTAACCCCCTACACTATAGGTCCCATAGCGAGCGTGCGTGATAGAAAATAATTTATTAAAACGAGCAGCTTTTGTATGACCTTGAGAAGTGTTATTTTAAAGTCACCACATTTTTTTTATATCAATGAAGTATTAAATATTAACTAATATTGCCATGTAGATATCTTACTAATGGTAAGCAAAACTAATTTGTCTGGAAATAGTTAATTTTGTTGTTTTAAAGAATGTAAATAAAAATCTATTTGATTTGAAATATTTTTTTATAATTCTTTCAAGTATTTCAAAACAATTTTCTCTTGCTATTTTTTTAAGGCACTGTGTTTAGTTTGTGAATCTCAGTGTCAATGTTCTCTAACACCGACGTAGTTTACCTGAACAGTCACTACGTAANACATAAGTTTCAACTTTAAAATCACTTAATAAGTATTGGGCGGAATTATAAAATTTTAAGTCTGTTGTAAAGAGAATTGTAAGAGCTTTCAAAAGAAATATTACTCAGCCCCCAATGCGATTTAAATATTTTGGGTTGATGCTTACCCTTGCTTAGGGGTGAAAACGACGGAGTCAAAAATACCAGCAACGAATGTCCCCCTTTAATCTAAAATCAACGGGTCTGATTGTGAACGTTTTTCTACAATCTTGACGCAGTTCCTGAAAATGGCTCTGTTTCATTTTCATTTGGCCACCCTGTATATTTAATCCAACTGTTAGAGAGTGAAACTACAATGAAAAATAATTTAGTAAAACGAGCAGCTTTTGTATGACCTTGAGAAGTGTTATTTTAAAGTCACCACATATTAACTAATATTGCCATGTAGATATCTTACTAATGGTAAGCAAAACTAATTTGTCTGGAAATAGTTAATTTTGTTGTTTTAAAGAATGTAAATAAAAATCTATTTGATTTGAAATATTTTTTTATAATTCTTTCAAGTATTTCAAAACAATTTTGTCTTGCTATTTTTTTAAGGCACTGTGTTTAGTTTGTGGATCTCAGTGTCAATGTTCTCTAACACCGACGTAGTTTACCTGAACAGTCACTACGTAAAGCAGACAGGGGCACGCTTGGGAAAATTAAAACATGTACTACTAAAAAGTAATAATATTCAGTCATTTTATCACCCAAATCGGTGAAGGACATCTTCAATTAGCCAAAACAAATAAAACCAACATAATTAAGCGGTCGATATTAATCATGAAGTGAAAATGGGATATTACTTATATGAAGTAAGGATGAAAATGTGACCGATAGTTCACAGCCATGTGCTTGATCACTGTTTACACGATTGACTGCACTTGGTATATGACAAGGGGAAGGTAGACGGGAAACAAAGAGTTGATATAGTTAGGAAAAAACGTTGGTATTGCAAAACAATATCAGATGGGTTACTCCAATCAACAAGTACCTAATAAGAAAATGTTTGTTGGGATTGGTTCAAAATTTAAGAAATTATGGAAGCTTTGAAAGCTAATGTTGGATAAGACAAATTCAAACAATGAGAAACTTAGAACTAGAAATTTTAAATGATAGGGAAGAGGATGCTGGTACCAGTATTCGAAGATTAGCAACATGATTTCAGGTACCTCATATGACTACTATCGAAATAAATTAAATAGACCCTTGAGTTTAGAAACCGATATTAAGAAAACATAGAGGCAAAAAAATTTGAAATTTGGACCATATATAGCTTCACTATTACTCTATTGTGTGCTAAAATTTCAGTTAGTTTCGTTTTCCCATTTTTTAGTTATTAATTGATACCTTTCACTTTAACACATTGTAATTTTTTTGTTAATTGATAAAAAAATTCCAAATTTTTGCTGACGATAAGTCGAACTATTGTCTTTAGTACTGTGAAGGTCATTCGTCTCAAAAGCTCTTCTGTTTTTTATTTTTAAACAAAACAGAAGTCAGTGAAAAAACTGACAAGGTAGTAAATAACTGTAAACTACATACTGAAAAAATTTGTTAAAATAATACAGTTATAAATATGATATTCTTAAAAACAGTATCGGAATGGTCAATTAAGTTCACGGTATTATTTTAACAAATTTTTTCAAATTGTTTACAGTTATTTACTACATATGTCAGTGTTTTCTTTTTTCAAACAACGCAACAAGTAAAAAATCACAAATCACAGGTGAATATAAACATAATTTTTATTTACACAGTTCAGGAAGGTGTCATTTAAAAACAAAAGAAATCCAATATGGATTCTTTTTCTCAGGCCACTAGACCTGCAACGGTTATCCTAAGATGTTAACAATCACAGGGAACTCTTCCTTTGAGTTGATTTGTACTTCTACAGTACAGTTTAGTTCAACCAGTTTTTCTCTCAAACTTCTCAATGCCTAAAATAAATGCAGTGTGACACATTTAACATGGAAACATCTTCATAGAAAAAAGTATGTTACAGAACACTTGAAGTAATTTTTAGTCACCTAAGCCTACTTGTTAATTTTATACAGAGACAAAATCTGTCAGTGATTGTCGTTCTAAATTTGACTGCTGATAAATTAAAAACAAATAAGTGAGCTTTGGTACATTAATCAAAAAATTCTGTAGAATTTTTTAAACTACCTTTCAAACAAACCTGAAGGAAACCCTGTCACAAATATAAGCAAAACATACTGTATCAGAAACAATTTAAAAAAATCACCTATTAAAAAAAATCAAACTAATTTACCTCTAAAACCTTTCCATGCGTTTCTGTATCGTTCTCTAGAATTCCTGTTTTGAGGCTCATAAGGGCAGTCACACAACACCCCGACATATCAGAAACAAGATCGGTATGCACCTTTACAACTAGATCTCCAGTATCATCTTCCACTTTGATAATTAAATGATATTCCTCGTCTCTCACCGTTAATTTTTCCACAACTGAATTAAACTTAGCCTTAATTTTGAATTTTCCATTGCTAATATTAGGCATATTATTTTTAAGTTTCTCTATAGTGAATATCATCGGCTTTTGCGACGTATTGGGTTTCCACCCCGATTCCTTCGTTGGTTGGTCTAAGTGAGCTTCGAGATCGAATATCTCGAACAGATCGTCTCCAAACTCTAAGCTTTTATCGATATTTGAATCAGTCGGCCTCATCTTTTCGTTATTTTGTGGAGTATTCGTAGACTTTGGAGTTTTTTCAATAATGTTAGGAATATCGATACTTTCAAAGACAGAGTCATCGATGTCTGCATCCTCAAACAAGTCAGGGGTTTTACTTTTTTTTCTTTTGGCAGGTGGTTTTTCAAACCCTTCTTCTACTTCCATCAACATGTCTATTTGTGCTGCTATCCTCAATTCCTCTTCTTCGTCTAAATCCATCATTTCGTTGTTACTTTGTCTTGTCGATGAATTTGGAACACTGGTAGGTGCATTCGTTACTCTAGCCTGGTGGTCGCTGTTAGGTCTATTAGCGGGATTAGGTGGATTTACATTATTTCTCACGTTATTTTGGATTTGTGCAGTAGTAACGTTTTGACCTTAAAATATAAATCAATAATAAATTTATTTTGAAAGGAGCGACACAAATACGAATGTGAAGTGAATATTTACAGCGAACTAAAAATTAGGTACTAAAAATTAATCAACAACTTCCATAAATATATTATCTGAAATTATTTATTTGTCACCTAATTTTAGTTTTTTAGTTGAACCTTTTCCTGACGAATATTTCTTGTTTGATTACATTATTCACATTCGTTACACAAATATGAATTCCAATTAAAACTTTGATGCAAATGAATCCCACTTGCAACTGAGAATACGAACATTTCGAATCTGAACATATGAGAATCTTAGCATTCTAACTAACAGATAAAACTATACTGACTAAAGTTTGCCAGCTTACCTGTTTTATTAAACATATCATGATTTGCAGTCAGTAAACTTTCCTCTATTACGTTTGGTTTCGGATTCAATGGCAGCTTCAAAATAGAGGCCAAGACATTCTCCGCTGCATTTGGCACGATCAAATCTTCTACTTCGCCTCCAAGAACTTTAACATTCTTATTTTCCAACATTAACCGTCCCCTTCTCACGGTTATTGGACCCAACAGTCTAATTTTAATACCAGGACTTAATTTTAAATTGAGGCAAGGAACTGGCATATATTCCATGGCCTCGACTTCCTGGACGCCGTCAGTTAATGTCAACTGTAATACCCGGTTCGAGGATTCAATTTCTGATTCGACGTTTGCAGAAGTATTGTTTCTAATTCTTTGCAACTGCCAATACTTCGGTTTAGAAATATCGACCACCTTCATCATTTGCAGGGAATAATCACCATTCAGTATGTACTTAGTTTTGTTAGATAAGTCTGGAGGTAAACAAGGCACTTCGACATCACGTAAATCTAGAAGTAGCCACTGTTCAAATACTTTATGTTGTAAATCTTTTAGAGTGTAATTTGCAGGAAGATCTTCTTCTTTACACCAATTCACGCAACCCTGCAGCCATGCAGTGGAAAGATGAACGCTGTGAGACTGAAAGAACGTTTTGATGCTTGAAATTTCATCCATTATTACCATCATCAAGAATTATGTACGGTATTCTCCCAAATGTACGGATCATTCCATATAAATGTAGGAAAGTGCAGTATACACTTTTCAAAAACGAATAAAATTAAATAAAATAATTGTATGGTATCATACAATTCTAGGTTAAGTTTTCAAATTTGACATTAGAGGCTGAATCATAGACTATAGAATTGTAGATGGAGTATAGTTATATTTTGGAGCGCTAATTGCGATCTTTTAACCATTATAGAGGGCGGTTGTATCATAATATGAAACCAGTTCAGTTGTATTAAAGTATAGTGATAATGTTTTATGGTTAATTTTCATCTATAATTGAAGTCTTTTATTATTGTTACTAAAGTCCCTGAACTGACCAAGTACCGCAACCGATTGCCTTTGCCTCAAAATGGCAGTTTGACATGTCAGTTTATACTATTTATACGGAAATTTAATTGATACAGTATTTTTCTATTAATGTATTGAGTTATTGAGAATAAGCTGTACAAAAAATATGAAAATTAATTAACTGCACGAAAATATATTTAAAATTTAAACTCATATTTCCACAGATATGTTATCGATTAGTATTTACATATACCCTTGTAACATTGGTTCAACGCTATCTGATAAGTCAAAGTAAGGGCTTTAAGAGACCCTTCCTAACTTGCCCTAAAACTATCCATGACCAATATAGAAGATCTACAACAAGATCGTTATTAAGACGTTTAAAGTCAACAATCTATTACGGGCCGTTATAAGTCATATAGTACATTTAAAGTTTACTATTTATATTTCATTTACATTACTTTGGCTGAAAATCTCGGACCTTAGTATATCGTTCATTATATAGGTACTTCATATTGACCGCGCAATCTAGACTTCTTTCTAGACCTATGGGTGGATCCCAACTCTGCATTTCCATTGGTTAGTTTAACGATAATTGATTTCTGATTGGTTACACATAATTCAACACAACACAAATTTAGGAAAATATGGATTGCGTTATTTCTATCACGTCGACAATTTAAAATGAATGGCCAATCAAGAACATATACTGTCTATCCTCCTTACATCTCCCCTCCCGCGCTAGCTAAAGGGCCACCTTAGTAAAGCTCATCCCAGGCTGCATAGCCGCACTACCCTACCCAACATAAATAAACATGACACCACCCCCGGGGTTTAAACAGACCAGCCGTCGAAGCAAGAAGAGCGTCAGAAAAAAGGGCCCTAGCCGGCGGGGCCCAGCCAGGACAAAAGGAAGTCCCACAAAGCGCCTACACTGGTCGCATTTGCGGTCGGGGTAGACGACGGATGGGGCCCACCTACGAAGGCTGTCCAGGCCTACACGAGATGAGGCAGGATAAAGATGGATAACCCCCCTCGATCCCAAATAATTGAGGCCAATTTCTAGCCATGGAATAATGGCGTGGCGCGTATACAGTCTGAATCAGAAATTTAGATAGATTTTTTCTAGTTTTGTGCTATGAAATAAACAAAATTAGATTGGGATGACCTCGTATAATCAAACAGTACTTTTTCATTTCTAGTATTAGCAAGAAACTATATTTTGCCAGTTCAATGTCTACTAAAATATATGAATATTCTGCCAAATATAATAAAAAAATATTAAACAGTATCAAAATTACAGATTAATTTAATAAATTTGAAATAGAAAACTATGTATATTATCAGTAAGGAGGCACATATTTTATTATTCTTTTAGGTTCAATTCTCATATTTTGGACCAATTATTAATGAAACACCCCTGTAATTTAAAAAACATGCATAATTTTTATTCAAATCTTAATACAAAAATATCAACTCAAAAAAAAAACAAATAAAACAATATTAAAAACGTATTTTTCACTTTTTGTTCGCAGGCAAATAGGATCTTTTTGTAATTTGGCCAAGTGATACGAGCTCCCCCTCCATAACATAAGGAATGGTTCCAGTCACGTCATCCGGGGCCATATAAATCGCCGGTGGCAGAAAAACGCTCCCCATTACCAAATAATAAACGTCTTCTAAAACCTTGATCTCTTCTGGTGTTACTAANTATATAGGCAGGGAGGAAATAAGTGTGAATACCTGAATTGTAATAAAACCAGGAGAACCAGCGCAGAAATAAGACTTTTTCGTTTTCCACTTGACGAAAATCGACTAAAACAATGGATTTTGAATTCTGGTAAGTAGTTAGGTACTTAAATATAAATTATAATATCTAATTATTTGTATATCGTTGCGGCACGAATTGAATGGTCTTGCGTCACGGGTGACGTAACGCAGATGTTTTTATTAACCTTCTTTTTTGTAATTTAGTGTAATATATACCTAGGGTAGACATTTCGTATACCTAATATAGGTACCTACCTATACCTAGTTTTATTATTCTTAGTTGTCAACATAATTTTCAACAGTTTGTCGAGATAAAGACAATACAATTTTTACATTTTTGTACTGTAATTTAGTGTAAATACTTAGTTTTATTATTCTCAGTTGTAGTTTCTTAAATATTTTGAATGAATTATTCATTTGTTCTGTAAAATCTTGCCGCAACTATAATACATACTGTGATAAATTTTAAAATAGGTATCTACATAAGTATTTTCCAAATATTAAAGTTATGTAAGTAAGTATTTAAAATAACTCAAAAAAATACATAACGCAATAGTAATATTACTAAATAAATATCATTCAATCGCACTGAGAAATTCATAGCCACAGCCAAAAAATTTGGCAAAATAGGTGCCAGCAAAGTTGTTTACTATTAATAGGGAACTCACTCTATTATTCTAACCTTAGTTGTAGTAGCAGAATTACTTTATAAAAACCTTTTTACTATTATACTTCTGTAACTTTACTCTCACAGGAAAGTACTTTCTTGTGGCTGTAAAGAGCTTATAGCTATATCAGCAGAATACCATACTACTGCAAAATAANGGCTGTCCAGGCCTACACGAGATGAGGCAGGATAAAGAGGGATAATCCCCCTCGATCCCAAATCATTGAGGCCAATTTCTAGCCATAGAATAATGGCGCGAGTTCAGTTGTATTAAAGTATAGTGATAATGTTTTATGGTTAATTTTCATCTATAATTGAAGTCTTTTATTATTGTTACTAAAGTCCCTGAACTGACCAAGTACCGCAACCGATTGCCGTTGCCTCAAAATGGCAGTTTGACATGTCAGTTTATACTATTTATACGGAAATTTAATTGATACAGTATTTTTCTATTAATGTATTGAGTTATTGAGAATAAGCTGTACAAAAAATATGAAAATTAATTAACTGCACGAAAATATATTTAAAATTTAAACTCATATTTCCACAGATATGTTATCGATTAGTATTTACATATACCCTTGTAACATTGGTTCAACGCTATCTGATAAGTCAAAGTAAGGGCTTTAAGAGACCCTTCCTAACTTGCCCTAAAACTATCCATGACCAATATAGAAGATCTACAACAAGATCGTTATTAAGACGTTTAAAGTCAACAATCTATTACGGGCCGTTATAAGTCATATAGTACATTTAAAGTTTACTATTTATATTTCATTTACATTACTTTGGCTGAAAATCTCGGACCTTAGTATATCGTTCATTATATAGGTACTTCATATTGACCGCGCAATCTAGACTTCTTTCTAGACCTATGGGTGGATCCCAACTCTGCATTTCCATTGGTTAGTTTAACGATAATTGATTTCTGATTGGTTACACATAATTCAACACAACACAAATTTAGGAAAATATGGATTGCGTTATTTCTATCACGTCGACAATTTAAAATGAATGGCCAATCAAGAACATATACTGTCTATCCTCCTTACATCTCCCCTCCCGCGCTAGCTAAAGGGCCACCTTAGTAAAGCTTATCCCAGGCTGCATAGCCGCACTACCCTACCCAACACATAAATAAACATGACACCACCCTCGGGGTTTAAACAGACCAGCCGTCGTAGCAAGAAGAGCGTCAGAAGAAAGGGCCCTAGCCGGCGGGGCCCAGCTAGGACAAAAGGAAGTCCCACAAAGCGCCTACACTGGTCGCATTTGCGGTCGGGGTAGACGACGGATGGGGCCCACCTACGAAGGCTGTCCAGGCCTACACGAGATGAGGCAGGATAAAGATGGATAATCCCCCTTGATCCCAAATAATTGAGGCCAATTTCTAGCCATGGAATAATGGCGTGGCGCGTATACAGTCTGAATCAGAAATTTAGATAGATTTTTTCTAGTTTTGTGCTATGAAATAAACAAAATTAGATTGGGATGACCTCGTATAATCAAACAGTACTTTTTCATTTCTAGTATTAGCAAGAAACTATATTTTGCCAGTTCAATGTCTACTAAAATATATGAATATTCTGCCAAATATAATAAAAAAATATTAAACAGTATCAAAATTACAGATTAATTTAATAAATTTGAAATAGAAAACTATGTATATTATCAGTAAGGAGGCACATATTTTATTATTCTTTTAGGTTCAATTCTCATATTTTGGACCAATTATTAATGAAACACCCCTGTAATTTAAAAAACATGCATAATTTTTATTCAAATCTTAATACAAAAATATCAACTCAAAAAAAAAACAAATAAAACAATATTAAAAACGTATTTTTCACTTTTTGTTCGCAGGCAAATAGGATCTTTTTGTAATTTGGCCAAGTGATACGAGCTCCCCCTCCATAACATAAGGAATGGTTCCAGTCACGTCATCCGGGGCCATATAAATCGCCGGTGGCAGAAAAACGCTCCCCATTACCAAATAATAAACGTCTTCTAAAACCTTGATCTCTTCTGGTGTTACTAACACCAACTTGTTGCTCTCTAAATCTACTCCTCTAACAACACCTAAAATATTTATTATACAAAATAAAAATTCAATCTCACTCAGTAAATTAAAATATTAGGAAGTAAATTTATATTTCAACAAAAAATATTGATCTGTTAAATTAGATTGACCATTAGCACCCACACACACATGCAGGGATTTTAAGAAGCCTTTTGTTCACCATAAACAAAAACATATTGGAACACTATGTGAAATGAAGAGCCCATTACAACTTCAACGCAGCAAATAAGACAAAATTATTCATCAGATTTAGAGTAGTAAGAGCTGTGGTTTGTCTACTACCTACTATTTCAGATTGGGACAAAGAATGGAAATTGGAGCACCTTATACACATCTCTGGCAAAATGATTTTGACGATTATCTATTAATTAGGTACGTTTATAAATTACAACTTACCATAACCCATACATCTAAAAACATTTAATTCTTGTTGTAAGTAACACAAAGCTACCATATTTGCATTAGTCACAGCAGGAGCTACGTCTTCTCCTTGCAGATTTGTAATTTTTATCGAGGGCAGATGTACTCTAAACAACACGATAAATAAAGTTATACTGCGTTAAGACTATTAGTATAAAACTTACTCATACATGGGTACGTCACAACTTGTTAACGAATTCACCCCATTTCGCATCATCTGGCCAAAGTACGCCAAAACGTACATTTCTCTGGACTGACGAGGTTCGAGTGTCCATCCGTCATTCTCATCGTTCAGCGCGGGTACCTTGTACAACTTATAATTCAATTCCAGCTGATCGTCACAAAACAGCGTACAATTTTCTTTCACGACCTTATACGTTAAATCATCTTTAAAATTTCTCTTCTGGTTCTTGCTGCATATCTGAATGATACCAGTTGGCTGTATGCATTTTATCACCGAAGTGACTATATTAAGGCCGATTCCTTGTACGAAACCCATGTAGTTAATTAAAATTGGACACTCCTCTAAGGTTTCCAAATAGGCGACGATGGATTTTATACAATTTATGTAAGCCCGAGGATCATGTGCGACGTTGATATTAGATAGAAGAGACCTGTTCGCCTTTTTCAAATGAGTAAAATTTGGTCCGAAAATAGGCTCCGTCACGGTTACAACGGAAACACAGCCTGGCACTGTAAATTCTGACTGACCAGGATCCAAGTCCAACACCCTGATTTTATCAAATTTATTTAGAAGTCTATTAATTGCAAATCTCAGTAAAGTACTTTTTCCTACACCTTTTCCACCGGTTATCATTAATTTGGTATTCCAATCTACATCGTCAAGGACTTCATCCCAAACAGAACTTGTTTTTATTGTATTTAAATTTCCAGTCGGTTCAAAAATTACCTGAGGTGCATTATCGTTTTCCAATCTTGGAAATATTTTTTGAGGAACATATTTCTCTAAAAATAACAGTTTAGTATCTTCTAACTTAGAACACAGTACAACTCCACAATTTGCTTCTACAAATATATCTTTTTCTAAATTATTTTTAGTGGAAATTAACTGACTGACATTTATAGTTTCGTCAGTGTCTTGAAAATGTGTTACATTTTTTATGTATAATAATGCAGAACCTCGTGGAGAATATAAATTTGCCGCATTTGAACTGCTGTCTAAAATACCACCAAGTACTTCAATTTTTCCATATAAAACTTTTAAGTTGAACAATCCGTGAAATGATATGGACTGATTTCTATTTAAAACAACTACTTTCTTATCACCAAAATCATGATACTCTGCAGTTGAATTTGAAAGTTCATCTTCTTGAAACTTCAGATTTTCTTCAAAGTCTGTAGAATTAGTTTCTTTTAAAAGATTATCTTCTTGAAACTGCTGGCTGTCTTCGAGACTCGTGAAGCTAGTTTCTTTCCAGTTATCATCACTGATTATAACTGCCTCTTGAATTTTATCGGTTATTAATTCAATCTTCTTCTCAGTACTGAATTCAGAAACAATATCTTCATTCAAATCTTCATCACTCTCTCCTACATTAACAGTTTCAATTTTAACAGCTTCTTTCTGATTGCACAAAGAATCACTTTCCATAATTTTAACGTCTATAGCATAGTCACTTAAAAATTCATGGTCAATTCCTGAATGGGCTTCTGTAACTGATTCATTTAGATCACTGATTTCATGGGTATTAAAATATGTTTCTAAATCAAAATTATCGCCACTTTCATCTTCGTCATCTTCACCACTTGATTCAATCATATCACTCAACTTCCTTTTAAAAGATTTGTTAATGGTATTTTGGAAAGTTTCCAACTCGGACTTTGATGGAGTCAATTGAGCATCCTTTAAGTCTTCATCAAAAGAGTCACTGCTACTACTAAATGAAATAACCACCTTCTTAGGTTTTTTCTTTTGAATATGTTTATGTCCATCTTTTTCAAGTTTTTGTGGTTGACTCCAAGAATCAACCTCATGCAATAGCGGCTCTTTTTTTATTTTCTTTTTAAACGGGGTATTCTTTCTACTCTTCAATTTTTCTGATTTCGTACTTTGAAGTTCAGATTTTGAACTGTTATTATCTCTAATATGGTCAGTATTAAATTTAACTTTCTTTAACTTTCGATGAGCCTTTTTGTTTGGTTTTACACCAACTTGAGCTTTTCCATATAAAGACTTTCTAACGCTAGGTAAAAAATCTTCATATTCTATTAAATCATTCATGACGATAAAATGAAATATTTCATATTTATCCTATTTCAAAAGATATTAACATTATTAACCGCTAAATTCGTACATAACCTTATTTTTACGCATGTTCTCTTCTTCTTCATTTTCATCTGTCAATTTGGGGACTAGGCGAATTTTTGCTAGTGAACCAGTCGACGCGTGATATTCCATAGTACACAACATGATGACCCTTTTTGTTTAAAATACCAGTAAAACGACTTCCAAAGTGTCGATAAATAAACTTTTTTCAGTTACATCTCATTTGGTTAAATTTTGTTGCCCTCTGGTCTGTCCGTGATGCCACTTTTGATATTTTTTTCTTTTATGTCTGTGATCTTCTTTTGTGTTTTCTATCTTTTTTGGCGTTTTGTGTCTATATATATATTTTGTGTTGGATGTGTTGTCTTTTGTTTGCGCTTTGGATCGGTGGTTGTATTTGCGCATTCGTTTGGGTAGTTCGCGTCTTAGTAACTCTGTGGGTGTTGTTTTTCGTCTTGGATTTTTCGATTGTTTGTTTTTGTTCCTTTTATTTCTTTCTGGTTTTTTTCCTCATCTTTATTGTTTATTCTTTTCATTTTGTTTGTTTTTTTGCTTACGCTAACCAATCTAACCATTCTCTACGTTGCGTGCTACGACGCTACGACTGCGACTACGGATGATCTCGTTACAAAATTATTTTTGTGTGATATTTCTTTTCGATTTTGTCTCTCGTGAAGGTTACATGGAGTAGCTAGTTACGGTAGATAACTGTTTATTGATATTTAATTTATAAATTGTGATAACTTTGTATTATGTAATATAAATCTTTATCAGTGCTGTGATTTGGGCTGCTGGTTGCATGGTGGAAGTTAACGTGTATTTAGAACAAGTTAAAAAGAGCATTTTTCTCATATACCTATGTAATATATCGTGGAATATCTTTTCAATCATGTGAAGTTTTTCAAAAAATCGGTTTTAATCCAATGAAGTAAATTACGCACCGTCCTTCTCTTTACATATTTTAGAGGAAATGGAATCGGAAATATCTTGTTCTACAAAGCAGTTAACTGAAGAAGAACAGCAACGTTTGTCTCTTCAAAATAATCGCCTAGTAAGTGAACACAAAGCTAGAATGCTAGAAATAGAAGCTAAGAAACATTGGGATTTATTTTATAAACGAAACGAGACACGTTTTTTCAAAGACCGGCACTGGACCACGAGAGAATTCGAGGAACTGTTAAACGAGGGGTCTACAGCTATCAGAACACTTTTTGAAGTAGGTTGTGGCGTGGGTAACTTTATTTTTCCTTTAATCGAAGAAAAATTGAACTTTAAAGTAATGGCTTGTGATTTATCACCTCGTGCCGTCGAGATGGTAAAAAGTAATCCTCAATACAATACCGAGTTGATGAAAGCTTTCCAGTGTGATATAACAACCGACGATGTATTTCAAGACGTTAAAACAGATACAGTTGACATCGTTACGTTGATTTTTGTACTATCCGCTATTCACCCTGAGAAATTTGTATCGACTTTGAAAAGGATTTTTGCATTATTAAGACCCGGAGGAATGGTTCTGTTCCGAGATTACGGCTTGTACGACATGGCACAGTTACGGTTTAAAGCCGGTCATAAAATTTCGGATAATTTCTATATGAGACAAGATGGCACGAGGAGCTACTACTTCTCCCTGGAATTTGTTGAGGAAATTTTCGGAGAAGCTGGTTTTAGGATCGTTGTTAATTCGTATGTGCACAGGCGTACCGTTAATAAAAAAGAGAATATCGATGTTCCAAGGATTTTTGTTCAGACGAAAGCACAAAAACCTGCGTGAAAGAGGTATAGTTAAATCGCTAGTATATATAGCTTAGTTTTTTTGTAATTGATACTTTTATCTTGAAATGTTTATGCTTTTTGCTATGATGATTTTTTATTTATGATAATTTTCATGATTTTTTATTATTAGCTCTATCTGAATGTGCACAATAACACAAAATAAATATGACCTCTATATGGCGACCTGTATAAGCGTTACGTTTCTTACAGGTCATTTCGCAACATCGGGGCTAGGAATAGCTGATTTAAATGGAGTAAGTAAATTTTATAAGACAAAAGTACAGTTTCAATTTTTTGAAATAGGAACGTTAAAGAAATATGGTTTTTACATACCTGCGAAAGTTGAAATTTTATTTATGAAAATATTGAATTAGTTTTAATGATGAACATATATCACCAATATATGAAAAAGTATGATTTATCTTCTCATGCACTACCAACTGACGAAATTAACTCAAATTACTAGTGATTTACTTTTCCAGAGTTGTATTAATAGGTCCCTTTTACTTTTTAGAGTTTCTGTGCAACTGGAAAATCGTCAAGGTGAGTCTATCTTTACTTATCCTCACTTTTCTTATTTAGTTAAATAATTATACAAAGCATATCCACAAAGTACGAGTAGTGAATACTTTAAAAATCGAAACGGCAGTATATTTGTGAAACATTTAAAGATTCAGAAAGGACTTGCTTTGTGACGTTGACTGTGAGGGGATTGTGTCATACAACAAGCACACTCCCTTTTTTTCTGTATCGTCCTCCATAGTGTTTTCAGTTTCACGGTACTACGCACCATTAACTGTTTCCCTTTGGGGACAAAAGTCGATAAAAAGAATCCCTGTACAGTCCCAAATCACAGTTGCTATGATTTTTCTCCTTAGATTATCATGAACATTGGTTTTACCAGCTTTATACCCACGTCACCACTTGTACATAGTACGATTCATTACACCATAAACAGTTTTAATTTCGTTAAATGTCTGGGTAAGCCCCTTTGCAAGAAATAACCGTATTATGCTCCTCACTTAGGAGCTGGCAAAATTCGTAATATCGACACTCATTTCAACACGTCACTACAACAACAGTTCTCAACTGACAAACAAGTGCGAGTTCTCCCAAGATCTTGGCCTTGAATGCAGTGTTACCAACAAAAATCACTGTATCAGAATCTCGGTACTCTTATTTTGTGGATATGCCTCTTACCTAAATTAGTAGAGCTTACAAAAATATAGTTTTAATTGTAAATGTGCACTTTTGTACAAATATTGTTCCAATTTTGAAAAGAGAACACCTTGTTTTTGTACGTTATGATGAAAAATCTCACACCACTGTATGAATCATTAAATGATTAACCTTTAACATGCACTACCAACTGATTATATTTAATTGTGTTATAATTTTCCAGTAGTATGTCACAATTGTTAATATAGAATTTTCCGTTCGGTTACAGAGGGTCACAAACGAACACTTTCAAGTTCGAGGGAGCAGAACATGAATCAAGTAAGTGTAGTTGCACATTTAGATCAATAACCTTTACTGGAATTCATTCATATAATCGTAGAACTATTTAAGGGTGGGAATCACATTAAGAGTTTCAAAAAATGGATTTTTTTATTACATAAATTGTTAGTATATCTATTCAAGAACGAAATTCCTATTCGTTCCGATTTTATGAACCTAATACCAAAAGCCCACCGGGTTAGCGCTCGGGCGCACAACAGGAAGGGGGGAACATTTATTCAGGTAGTCTAGTCACTTATTAACCAAGAAAAAAACATATGCATGCTCAGAATGATGCATATGAAGAAGTGGTGGAAACGCTGATTGATCGGAAAGTACTCTACATTATTGATAACTTTCCCAAATTTATAGTTTGCGGAAATTTTCAAGCGCGTTTTTTACGAAACGACATTTTTGATTAGCTCAAAAAGTTATGAAAATTGAAAGTGTGTTTCTTTATGAAATTTATGTATTTTTTATTCAAAATTAGTGAAAAACGTTGGTCAAAACTTTAATTTTCACAATTTTTACCCGAAATGATCAAAATTGCGACATCCATATTTCCCGTGAACAACCAACTCGGATGACGACCTTTGGTGGACAACAGCCCGTAACTTGTAAATGTAGTTCAAAATATTGATCAAATGTCAAAGTTTGATCAAATTCGAATCAATTTGTCCCACTTAAAAGAATTCATGAGGAACGCCTGAAAATCAGTCTCCTAATGTGGTCCCCCCCCATTTCCATGATGATTTCATAGTTCAAATGAACAGACATGATTACAACCCAACTTTGTCTTTCGCTCCTATCTGACTGCAACCTCTTTTCGTAGTCAGTCCTTCAAAATCCAAGTTACAGTAATTTAATTTTTTTTTTTTTTTCAGAATATAATGGATAGAACGCTCGTCTAAAATTTTACATAGGCAAGTAAAAATATTTTGAACGTTACAGAAAAAACATTGTAGATTTTTTCTTAACTCAAATTTAAATGATGATTGCATAGTTCAAATGATCAAAATTGATTACTACCATTATTTTGTCTTTCGCTCCTATCTTACTATAATTTTTAATATTTTTTCTTTGGTTTCATAAAATCGTGATTCACAACAATTTTTTTTTATATTACAGATTGCAAAGCGAGCTCGAAATGTGTGCCTAGATGAACACTCAAATGTAAGTTAAATAACTTCAATTTACATTTTTTTTTAATTGAAATTTAATGATGATTTCATAGTTCAAATGAACCCTGATTACACTTTTAATTCGTCTTTCGCTCCTATCTGAAAAATCACCAAACATTTATATACATTTTTTCCCCAGTGAACAATTTTTTGAAATAATTTTTATTTACAGATGTAGATTCAAACGTTTCCAAAGAACATCTAATTCTTCACATATTGACTGCTATTTGGGTACGTTAACTTTTTGTACTATAAGAAAATGGGATGTTTTATAGTCTTTCCGAAATCAGTACATATATAAAAACGCCTAGCAATAAAATTTAATTAGCGAAGGTGAAAAATAACAATAATTTGTATATAATGTGTAGAAAATTTCTATTATATGTTCATTTGGCCAACAACATATTTTAATTATTTATGTCCTCAATTTTCGTCATATAAATTATAAATTGTCCGCCGAATTAAATCTCTCGTCATGTCATTGATATTTTTTAATTTTTGTTGTTTTCACTTCCTCTAGGCAATGATCTATAACACTTTTTTTAATAACATGAAACATTGTGGACACTGAAACTTTAGTTAATATGTGAATTCTGTTTATAATTTCATTATTTGATTTTTCATTTTCCTTTTTTAAACAATCGTAAATATTTAAAACGAGACACTGATATTAAACATGTACATCTTTATTTTTAAATTCTAAATCTATTTTATCAACAACCGGTTCTACTAATTCAATATTGTCTGGCGGTATTTCGTTTTGTTCTGTTTCAAAACGTCTCCAAATTGCCATGTTGTAATATTAATATACAAAATATCCCTCTTATTTCTCCCTTTCGCAATTACAATATGAATAATTAATTAGAAGGTACCTCTAATAAATTAAAATTACCTAAATTACACCAAATTCCGCATTGCTGCACTGCACCGCTAGACAATTTGTCAACAAGTGAAATTTATGGCCAGTCGCTCAGGTTTGCTGTTTGCCCGCGCGAACATTCTTCAACTGGGCGACCAGACCTGTATATGGGTATGGCTAAATAAATATGGGAACAAGTTTTTCAAATATTCCAATGCCGAGTTGTTGTGTAGCGACCAAGCCTGGTACATAGCGCCTAACTGTTTGGTCTTCATTTGAGATCGGAAAGACTATACATGTGATGATAGGCATGCACCACTCTGAAATTCTTTGTAGTTAAACAAGCCACTAGTCTGACGTTCCTGTGATTTTAAGTTTCTTGACAATAATTTTAGAACAAATGTTTACGTGGATTTTCCTTTCAGGGAGAGAGAAGAGTGTCAGTGTCTCAACAAAAATGATGTACAAGTTTGAACGATTAAAGGTAAATTACATACATATTAATTACTTATACAGCGGAGCTCAGTTATAACGACATCCCAAAGGGCAGTCAAGTCGCTTTGTACTACATGGTGAATCCAATGAACCAAATTTAGGTGTCGTTAAAAGTAATAGCCAAACTCCATTGTATCATCTATATTTATTGTGTCCTAAAATTTTTTTCCGTTCAATAACAGCCACAAAAAAAAAAGTTGTTTATACTTGTCATGGGACATATGTTATCCGTAGTATTTTTGCTCCTGATCACGAATCCGGTGTCAGAATTAATTGAGCTGTCACATCACAGGAATTTCCTAAATTCACGAAAAACTACTAAGAAAAATACAAAAAAATTTTTTCCCTATATTCAAATGTTCATTTATATGGTTAAGACCACGTCGAACGTGAATCCGCGGTGAGAATTGATGATTCTTTTTCTAACCTCAAAAAACGAGTCGATTCACAACATTTTCAAAATATAGCGGATTCGCGCCAGATTTTGTATACAGGGGTTTTAGAGGTCGCTGATCACGGATCCGAGGTTAATTTTACAAAATTCAAGATGGCGGATCCAAGATGGCCGACCAAATTTTCAAAAAATAACCCATTCTGAGGTGAATTTTGCAAAATTCAAGGTTTTTGTATTTTTCCTAGCACTTTTTCGTAAATTTTTGCTATTTTTGACCTCTTTTTGGAGGTTAGGAAATTCCTGTGATGTGATAACTGAATTCTGACACCTGATTCGTGATCAGGAGGCAAAAATACTACTGATAACGTATGTCTCATGAAAAGTAGACTTTTTTTTTGTGTGGCTGTGTAATTTAAAATGATGATAGGCATGCACCACTCTTATGATTTCTGCAGAAAGCCATGCCATAAGTCTGACGATTAAGGAAAAAATTGTTTTTTTTTCCGAATGCTGATTATATTTTTATTTTGTTTTTTACTTTTTAGTGTACACTCGAAGATTGCAACAAGAACAGAGGTAGGCGTTCTGAACTATGCTTCACCAGATTTAAACCCTATGGACTTTTTTTATGGGGTTATATAAATAGGGGGTACTTTCAGTAGTGACGAACCACACAGCGAAACATCAATTATTAGGGGTGGTTCGTCGCATTTTTTTCTTAGGTGCCCCCGCAATGAGTTTACAGCAGCATCTGCGGTGCCCAGATTTAAATCCATGTGAGATCCTTATTTGGGCAGAAAGGAAACTAAAAATGAAGCTTCTTCCTTTGTTGAGCTGATTTTAATAAAAAAAATATTTCTAAAAATAAATAAAACAAAAAAAATATTGTTCTATTTTTTTAAATTAAATCCAATTGAGTTTTATTTTATAGGTTCAGTTCTACTTATAATGTTTCAATAAATGTTTTTTTTTTATATAATGTATTTGAATGAAAGTCACCCTTCCTGCTGCTTACTGAAGTAACTTAAATTACAGGACGTTTTAAATATAATTGCAAAAAGGAAATTGTGAACACCTTGTACATTTTAAGGGGTATTTTTCATAATTATACGTATTTTGAAGCATTTTTTGCAAAATAATATTGTTTGAAAAATCGTCATGAAATAAAGAATAAATAAAAATAGAAAGTTTTTTTCATTGTAATTGACAGTGCCAATTGAGCATTGTTGGTTGCCTAAGTTTGGTGGTCAAGGATAATGTAACTAATAAAATACCAATTCAGAAAAGAAAACTAGCTTTATTTCCGATGTAAGGAAAACCAAAAAATACTCAGTCTTATGGCAAACAACAAAAAAATGGTATAGTTACGTAGACCCACTAGCACCAGCATCTGTACTAGAATTGGATTCGTGATGGTGAGATGCAGTCGGTACGAGAGGTTGTTCTTCCTCCGGATGAGGATCCAACGGAATCGTGTTCGATTCCAACGGAGCCGTCTGTGAATCCTCGGGTAAGGAGTTCATGTCCTGATAGGACGGATCCTGCTCTAACTCAGCGGTATCGGCTGTGTTATTGGAGGAGTCCGTCGTATCTTCTTCCTCGTCTATTTCAACGGCTATTACAGATGGGTGAACGCCTACAAATTTTAAATTTTTTAATGTCGAGTCGCTAAATGATGTTTTCAGTTTCTTACTTAAATGCTTTTAGTTTTTTAAAATATTAACTTGGCTTGAGAACTAATCAAATTATAAGTATAAATATTAAATAGAAGAGGACCAAGGACTGATCCCTGTAGGATGCTACAATGTACATGCATGTTGGTTGATTGCCCAACATATTTTTAATAAGTCGCATTAGCTATTTGGAAAGCAGCTATTTAATAATTTATGTATGTCCAAATGATTATAATTTGGACAAAAATTTGACAGTCTTACAACTGCTTGACGTTTGAATATACATATACAGAAGGATTCACAACTTATCCAAAAATATTTGGTAATAGATTCGGCATAAGAAATGGAGTCAATATCGTAAAAAAAATTATCGTAAAATCCTTATAGTTTCCGAGAAAAAAATTATTGAAGTTGTCGTACTTTCAACCATTACATAGCTGGACTACAGTTGTCTCTAGCGTGGAGAGCCACGTGGCCTCGGCAAATCCGAATACTGAAATCCGATTTTACAGTCACCGTTGTGATAGTGTTTACAATAGTTTTTTTAGTAGTTAGTGTCAAAAATGGCTTGCGTGTATAGCAACTTGGAGTTGATGAATATCGTTTTAATTTATGGTGAAGCATTTGTGTTATGGTGAGGCAAGACAGCATTTGTGTTAGTTCGTAGAAACTGAGTAAGACAGACCCAAATGTGTTTACATGTCGGTGGGCAAAATTTTGAACATTGTAACATGAGGTATGTCAAATTATTTTATTATTTAAAACCACAAATTAATTTTATTATTTAATAATAACAATAGCGGCAAAATCAGTTGAATTTGCCGATATAAAATTTTTAAATTACTTTTGAACTGCCCTTTTTGATTTTTTCTTCACAAAATTTTATTTGTAAGAGTCGCATGAACATCCAGAATTTTTTTGGACAAGTTCTGAATCACCCTGTATATTTAATTTTTAGCAACAAATCAAACATTTTGTGTCAACAACAGACAAACAAAATTCCTATTTAAAGAGACGAATGTGGAACACCATATTTTTTATACTTACCCAAGCCATCTCCCTGACAGTAAAAGTGGGGTTCTTCTTGACTTCCTGCGGGATTTTCGCCTTCACCGACGACTTGTGATCCGAGTATTTGCAGCAACCAGTGAGGGAAAATATTTTGATCATTCATAAGACCTACAAAATTAAACAAATATTGGTTTTTTTAACCCATGATTGTGATCATGCCTCAATTTTTTTTAATTTTTATAATTCTAATAAATATATTTTTTAATATCATATAAAAGCAACAAAATTTCTGTTGTGTAACATTTATTTCGTAACTTAAATAAATACAGGCTGTTACAAATTCGCTTCACACTACAGGGATCTCGGAAACGGTAAGAGATACGAACTAACTAAAATGGAGGCAAAGTTGCGTAATCAGGGGATCAACATTATGCCTAAAAAATCAAGGCTAACATGATTAGTTTTCGAAATATTTGAAAAAAAAAACGAAATTTTGGAAATCCGTTTTTGTTTAATTTTAACTTTATTTGAAGTAATATTCAAAAAAGAAGAACATTTTCTCATGCTTTTTGCCCTCTATCGAATTGAAATGAAATAAAAACGGATTTCCAAAATTTCGTTTTTTTTTCAAATATTTCGAAAACTAATCATGCTAGCCTTCATTTTTTAGAGGCATAATGTTGGTCCCCTGACTATGCAACCTTGCCCCCATTTAAGCTACTTACAGTTTCCAAGATCCCTGTAACGAGCAGCAAATTTGTAACAGCCTGTATATATTTTTTAAATAAAATTTTTTAAACCATTTTTTGGTGTGGCCTGCAGATATTAAACGCTGCTAGATTTTTATTTCATGTTCAAACTTCAAAATAATTTGACTAAAGGGGCTTAATAAAAGGAAAGGAAAAGGATAAAATGAAACAGAAACAAAAATGTCTTATATTAAAGAAAATAACGAAAAACAAATAGAATGATTATGCTGTAAAAAATAATGTAACAAAATATAAAAAATAAACTACATTAATAAATAATTATAACACAAAAAAAAGCACCAATAATGTATATCCAACACCTTTGATACTACCGAGGACTACTTAAGTACAGGGCAGGCCATTTTGACACAGGGGAGATTTCTCAAAAAGGCAAAAAGTAGTTCAGATGTCTCGGCTTCGGTTTTTGAAAAAAAATTGTAAATCCAGTACTCCACATATATTTTTAACTTTTTAAACCTGCGAAAAATTTCTTTTCCGAACAATGTATAGAAAATAAATTTTTTTCAAAAATTTACTTAGGATGTTCCATTTATTACGATTCTACTATCAATAATGTAAAATATATGTACTGACGTTTTCTAGCTAGTAAATCTAGTGTATTGTAGAATTACACTTAAGTGACTAGACGTTAGTATTGGCTGTTGTTGACACTGCCATTTAGACCACAGAATAAGACACAATGTTGCCTATTTAATCTATTGAACGAAAATTGAAATAACTTAAATGAATCGAGATATCAAGATACAGTTTTTGCCTTTTAATTTTTCTCAAACATCAAGTCCGAGACATCACCGTTCAAGAAACCCTCCAAAAATGACGAAAGTGGCCCACTGCGTACACTCAAAAATATACCTGACTCATTTTCCTCAGGAGTGGGATGAACTCCGATGAACACCACATTATTTCCCGTATTTACAATGCTGACGACATTGTCTGTCTCGTGCAAAGCCGCGGAAATCTCGAAATCGTCGAGCGAGTCTTGCTCGGAATTGGGATCGAAGAGGGCTTCTCTGCTGGCCTCGCCTATCAAATTGTCCGCAGCTTGGGCGTTATCGGCGTTTTCGACATTGCCTCCTTCCGCGACAATCACCAAGGGATCCTCTATGACCCGCAGGAGCTCATTGTTCCTGTTATTATTGTCAATGTTAGCGTTTTCTTCCCGAATTTGAGGTAGTTCTTCGACGGGCTCTAAATTATCGTTGACTATGTCATTCCCAATATTTTCTACGGCTTCTTCCTGGGCAATGTAATTGTTACCTTAAATATAATTGATTAGGTAGTGCGGCGTCTACGGAACAGTTCGAAGACAAGAACTAGAAGAAGTGTACTGAGAAAATCATCGATTTGGAATGATTCCCATGAAAACGTGTCCAAATCAATTTAAATACAGTGTTAAATAATTCAGGAAATCATCAGAATATTTTTACATAACACACAAAAAAATTAACGTTGCCGTTAAATTTGAAATTGTCTAAAGTGAAAAAATTCATTTACCTTCAAAGTCCCTGTTATTATTAGCCAAGTCGCCGTTTTCCACAACTGGGGCTTCTTCATGAATCTGAGGTAATTCTTGAACCACAGCCATTTCGTTAACCTGAGGGGGCTCTTCGGCTTCCGGTGGCGGTTCCGGTTCCGGCTCCACGTACTCAATCAAATTCTGTTTGTCCTCTTTCACGTCCAGCTTGTTCAATGTGTTCTCTATGAGACAATTCGTAATCGATTTTACGTCCTCGAACGGACTATCGTCGTCGACGTCGCTTTGGAAGCTCTTCCTAACTTTTTTCCTTTTCTTACTGGGCACGCTGGAAGGTCCAGGAAGCGAGTCCTTGTCTTTCAGGAAACTCTTCTTAAGAACTTCTGGAGGAGGCACGAAATGGTTGAAGAAAGTCCGACCCGGCGGGATGTTATGAAACTTATCCATTTCATTGATCCGATTCAAATCGAATTTGAATTTGGTGAAGTCGGGAGCCGGCGGAGGCACGAAGCTGTGTTTTTCTAGGGTAGAGGCTTTCTTTAAGTGTACTTTGTTGTCTTCGCTCGTGAGGCTTGGGGTGCTTGTTGTGTCTTCAAAGACGTCGGTTTCTTCGAGCTCTTCTAATGGGGTTTGGGGCGAGTCGTCCATTAAGGACAGTGATTTTTGGTATCCTGAGTCGAAGAGGGAGTCTTGTTGCTTTTTCTCATCTTCTATGTCCGTTACTGGTTCGACTGGTTCTTCTCTCGAGGTCATTCCCACGCAAGTCATGTCTGTAGGAGATAATCGACACGAATAAAGTATTTTAGTTTTTAGCAAACAGTGTTCGTTACTACTTCTTTAAAGCACTGTGTTCGGTTTGTGAATCTCACTATCAATGGTATTTGACATTGATCTAGTTTAGATGAAAAAGAAACTGCAAACGTTCGTTCGGTGAAACGAGATTGGTCGAATATGTCACCGCTTCATATATTACATTTATTTTAGTTTTCAGCTTATCGGTTTATGAGAAAGAAGAGAAAACACAAGTTTTCGTAACAGAATTTTGAGGACTAAAACTGGTTGAAAAATTGTGTAATTAATTTTAGTGAGTCGTTGATAGAAAAGTATTTTAATGAAAGGGCTGATTCATGGCATACCTTAGTAGGAAATATTTTGCTAAAAGTTACGACAATGATATAGTTTTTTTGGAAAACAAAAACTTACCTTTGCGATTATCGCACGATTTTCCGCTTTCTTTTTTAAAATTCGGTTCATCCCAATCTGAAAGAGATTCCTCGTTTAGTTGGTGTTTTGTAAAATCACTGTCATAACCTGAGGCCTCTGAGGTACTGGATATTTCTTCCATCACAGGTTCATATATCACGCAGTTTTGGAGAAGTCCGGTCTCCTGTATTCTACATTCTTCCACTCTGTAGCCGAGTCCTGTTAACAGTTTTCTGGAAATGAACGGAAAGTTACTGGAATTTCATTTGGTTTGGGTGAAGTTGTCAAAAGTTTTTTTGAAATTAAAGGGAAAAAGTCAAGCAAGGTGTCAAAATCTTTGAACGAGAGCTTTGCAGAATACCATTGAACAAAATAAAATTATAATTTTTCTATTAAAAAGTATATTTTAATTTAAAAAAGTTTAGTATTGCCCTGTATCTTATATTATTATCTTAATATTGTCATATTCTTAATTTTTTTAAATCTTAAAACGTTTAAAAAAATAAGGTGGATCCAGTTTAATATTAAATTAGAATCTCCAGCAGCGTTCAACGTGTATATTAATTCTTATACTATTAACTGAAAGTCCATAAAAAAATATAAGAATGTTATAGTATGTTAATCGTGTTTTCTTCTTTGTTTTTTTTTAGTCTTATACTGGTAACCCACACACTAGAAGACCTTTAATAAACTAGTTACAATTAGAGTTTCACTTTTAAACAAACACCACATTTGAAAATGAGATAACCAATGTGGTTTTTACACAACTTTCCGCCTTACTTTAGACTTGAAATGTGGTATTATCCAAATAATGAACGGCAAGTCACGATAGACCAATATCACAATATGAACAATTTGGTGTGCACAAGTGGAAAGAAGAATTACACGAATACATAGAAATCACCATAAAAATAATTTGGGAAAAATGCTCATTTGTAGCAGCATGCACTGAATTGTGGATACCTCAAGTGATAGCGAATGTGCGAATGAAAACAATGGTGATAATTTCGAACGTCTTCCTTAGGCTTTAAAAACATCTAAATTTTCATCATATTTGAGTTTATGAAAAAATGTTAGGTACTACATACTTTTCAAATTAATAAGAGCACAAATTAACGTATAATTATCACAAAATTATGAGGTAGAACCTATTGTTAAGAAAATTTCCAGTTTATTAGACATGATATATTTTTGCACTTACTCGACTTCACTTTCCGTAATATCGAACCCAGTCGGTCCATAAACCAAGTCCTGCAATGGTATCTCGGATCTATTTCTTTCCTCTACAAAAAATCTACCCCAAGCTTGTCCCAAATGAGTTATCCTATAGTTGAACTCGTCCCTCATTTTCTCGTTTTCCGTACGATTATCCCGTTCGAAAGGATAAACTACTTTCTCAATCAATTTATAATAAGTACTATATGACGACATTTGCTCCCTGTCAGTTTCATAGAGTACACTTTGTTTAGAACAAGTATAATACGTACAAACACCATAGGAAGCGCTTGGCGAACACGATGCGCATACACAACTGCAGGAAAGATTCGACTGAGAAGTCAAGCCCTTACAAGGCGAATTGTTGTCACAAAGGCAGGATGAGTAATAAGTCTCGGGTAAGTAATCATCTGATAAAAGGTCCTTTCTAATAAACACAGCCATTTGGGAGCATTGGCCCAGGTGTTCAGTACCTTGAGGTCCTTCTCCGATTCCAGAAAAAGACACTGTATAGTCGGGAAATCGAATAGCTATGTTATTAGCCCTAAAAATTACATCAGTAGTAAAATAAACAAACAATAAAATATGGAGTATATTACCACTCCTCAAATTGCTCTCTGCTCCATTCAAATTTGTGATCATAATGGCGTAATCTGTTTAAATCGTCAGAGAAAAGTACATTGAAATCGGCATTAGGCGTAGTTATTATAACTACTTTAGGGTTGATATGGTTGAAAACATTGTAGGGAAACGCATCAAGAACATCAGGATATAAATGCTCAATTCTAAAAAAAAACAGGTCTGTAATCCAATAATTGCAAAGCAGATAAAACATACACCTCAATTGCAGTGACTGCATCCATATTTAACAACCTACAATCAGGATCTGCCACACTGCCCGCAAAGACACAAACTTCTAAAGGTTCGTGTCTTCTTTTCAAATGTTCAATCGTAAGAGGATGTAACTTCCCTGCATACTGGTTTAATAAATCTTCGTCAATATCAACAAAAAATATAGTATTTAGATTACTTAATCGCTTAATAAAAACAAATAAACTAAATTCTGCACAACCAAAATCAACAAGACTAGTAATTTTTGTTCTCAGTCGTTCGTTAAGAAGAGTCTCATACACCCTTCCGTACCTCTGACGAAAAACTGGAGGATCAAACTTAAGATTAAATTCTAGGTCCTCATCCACATTTACCGAATTAGCTTCAGTAAAAGATTTGTTACTCATAAACTTTTGGAACATTTTTATTCTCTTTCTGCTCCGTAATAGCTGGAATATTATAATACTTATACAGTGGAATAATATTATCATTATTCAGATTTATTTTTCTTAATTCATAAATGCTGTATAAAACTTTTTTCACTGAAAACTTTATTAACTATGTTAGATTCAAATGTCAATCTACAGTAAATAACATAACCACAAAACAATAACAACGACGATACAGTTACAGTAGCTCTGTTAGCCATAGTATACTACACAACTACTATTGGTTTCTTCTTCTTCTCCCTTTAAAAAACAAAACAAATAAATAGTACTTTTAATATTTTTTTTCCTTTAATTATATAATGTTATTTAACACCTTCCTAATATTTGTATATCAATTTTATTTTTAATTCTCTATTCTTAATTTTCTGTGTTCGACACAGCTTAGGTTTCACCTAGATGGCGCTACAAAAATTAATATTTTCTGGTTCTGTTGAGTTGTTGCAAATGGTAATTAAATTATTTATATTTGTAAAGATAAACGATTCAAAAAGCTCTTATTTATTTTAAAACATATTTTCCGCCTGTTCAAATTAGATCGAATTAGCAAGCCATATGAAAATTCGATGAAAATAGGTATTGCCAACATTTGATGTTAAACGAAATGTCAGTCAGTTTTTAGCAGTAATGGCGTTTGTGTTGTGCCATTGGTGAACCGTTGTGTCGAACATTTCGAAAAACTTTTCTAGTTGAATAAGAACTGTTGCATTTTGTGATTCGCTTAACAAGAACTATGTTTTGAATGAGGCCAAGGTCAGTTATTCTTAATATTATTATTATATTTCGTTGGTTTTTTGGAAGATTTGGTGGGAAAGACAGCTTTTGATGAAATATGTACTCTTGCCAAATTTGAACGCAATGTGCAACTTTTGTCAAGCATTTTTTATTACTAATGATAGTTTATTTATTAATTCTGTTATAAAATGTTTGATTGTTAAAAAGGCGAATTTATTAAGATATTAAGTCACTTGCAAACAGCATTCCCTTTTGACAAAAATACATGTTAACAGGCACCCAAATTAACTTTTACCTAAATAGAAATCTGAATTTTGGAAAACAAGAACAGTTTTTTTATTTACGAAAATTGTTTTAAAATAATTTATTTTTTGATGTGATTTTTTTCATCGAATTCTTTTATAAAATTCGACTAATGAACAAATGTTGTTGATTCTATAATATATTAAATTGGAAGTGAATTTATGACAGGATTTTCATTGTAAATTATTCTGAACTCTTAAGATAAAAGTATAACTTATTTTGCGAGATTAGATAACAGTAATTTAATTATTGCTTTGGTTATTGCCCTAGATTTTACCACTAATACTAATACCTACCTGTTACAAGTTAAAAGGAATTATTGGGTCTTTTTAAAAATATCTTATTCACCCATTATCAGTTTCTGTTATAATTGCTGCTTGTCAGTATTTCCTGTAGTGTAGAGGTAGGTATATTTCTAAAATTAAATACATTTATTATTCATTTGGAATCTATAAGTACGTTAGTATTTTTATTTTCGTGGATATAATTTTACTTTTAATTTTTTATTTACCTAAAGCGTTTCTTTATTGTAAACTTAAGTGTTTTTTCTATAAGCAAAGCAACTTTTTCTAGGAATAATATACTTCAAAATTTGAGGAAAAGTGTTTTATAGTTCACTTCCAGTTCATAATATTTACTTTATTCAAAGACCAGATCACCTCGCAAATCACCTTATTGCTCTCTTTCATTCTGTATGTCTTAGTCATTTTCACAAATAGAATATTATTTATTGATGACTATATTCTGACAGTGAAAGTTTACTTGTATTTTACACTTTTTATTTCCCAAACATTTACAAAACAACGTCTTGATACGAATGTCTATTTCTGAATGGAAGATTTCCTGGAATAGTTTACGTCCGTCTAGTTATTGTGGCTTTCTTCTATCATTTATAATTTAGATATATACGTGGGTATCTCACATACCTGCTGATTTGAAACTGAGATAACATCAGTTTAAGTTCGAGAGGAGAATAGAGAAAAAATAGTTGTTACTTAAACAGTTATTGTATGATGTTAACTTTGAATTTGTTTTTCTATTCGAGGTGATCAATCAAAATCAGACAGTTGCATATAAAATCTTAATTTCAGGTCATATTGTGCTGATGATTCTACTGTTAGTTTTTTTGCGTTAGAAAGTTGTAAAAATAAAAAAAATGTCTGCAATTTTTTGGATAACGAAAAATAATATGTTTGTTGCTTCACAAAAAAGCTCTTCATTTGTATCAGAGCAGATGATCTACTTGGTCATTTTGTATATAAAAGTCATCAATTAGTTGATGTGAGTAGAGCAACACAAATGAACAGAATTAAATGACTGCACGTCCAAAATAAATTTTTTCTGTCACTGCAACGCCATCTATTGGTATGAAAATAAGCCAATTTTTTCAAGCCAAGCTGAACCCTTTACTAGCCTCCGCCTATGACTAGTCAAATAAAATTAATTTTTTGGTTTCCAAGAAAACAGTAGCGGTAGTCGGTCATGTTTTTTTTCAAATTGTCAAATTTACCTAGTATGTGATTTTATGTGAAGCATCCTATGTGAAATATTCTAAAAATCTTAATCACAGAAATACCTGTAGTGATATTGTAAGCAGATAAAAATAGATAAATATATGACTACCGTGTGGATACATAAACAAAATTTGAGGTTTAAAGTATAGGTATACAAGTTTTCCACCGAAAATGTTTTATTTTTGACTTTTAGGAAAAAAAGCTTAGGTACTATAAAAGTTGTATCCCTTCGAAAATTTCAAGAATTCATTCGAAAATTCATTTAAAAAACAATTAAACATCGCGTTTGCTACTGTTACATCTAAATTGTAGGTATATTTTTTAAATGCAAGACCTTGTTTGTTACATTTTTGAAATTTGTGTAAATTTAAAATACTTCTATCAGTTAAGTATATGTTTGCTTCAATAGCTTTTGTCTAAATAAGGTTTCTTAATTAGTATTGACACTGGATATTCCAATCTACAGCTGCACCTGTCTTGGCAAATGATTATTATCCCTTGGCGATTTGATTATTAGTGCCCTTTGATATGATCAGAATGTAGGCTAGGTATAGTCTTTCCAATCTTAATTGAATACCAAAGAGCTAGGCAGTATGTACCAGGTTCAGTCGCTGATATTGCCTAGCAATGCAATGTATCAATGCCAAGCAGAAATATATTCTAATGAAATTGTAATAGCTTTTTGATATGTTATAACCAAAAACCATCAATATAATAAAATTGTTTGAATAAATAAATAATTAAAATATGTTGTTGGCCAAATGAACATATAATAGAAATTTTCTACACATTATATACACATTATTATTATTTTTTACCTTTAGCAGAAAACTTTTTTACTGACGCCTATCAAACTCATTAAATTTTATTGCTAGGCGTTTTTATATATGTTCAACTGACTTCGGAGAGGCTGTACCTTGAAATTTTTTAATGGTTAACTACTGGCACAACTAGCTGTATATTTTTATGTCCCAATAGTAATATGTACCTGTATTAAAATTACTGTTTTTATTGTGTTATGCACTTATTTATAGAAGTAACATTTTGGTTGCCAATTAACTGGAAATCAAAGGTTAACAACGTCCATACTTTGACTAAAAAATAATTATTGTTCGTCTTTTCACATCGTGCAGTTTTTAAGCTTATACTAATACATTAAATGACTGATAATTAACATTAATTGCACAGAAAAAAGTTCTTACAAATCTCAATGAACTATGACGTTCAAGATATTTTATTACATGAAACATGAATCGTTAAATGGTCATTTTAGATGAAAAAAACCGCGGAGTGCTATTAAATTAGAGGGTGGAAATTGGAGATAGGGATGAAAATGCACCCTGTCAGTTTTTTAATTGTAGCTCGAAAACAGAGCAAAATTTCGCTATAGTTCATAGGAAAAATTATTTAGAGAATTGAATTTCCCATCGAATGGCTTATTTAAAAAGTTCAAAAGGAAATTTTTATGTAAAAAATCGTTAATAAACAATTCGATTTTCTGATTTTTTTTTTACTTTTTTGCCTCTAGTTTTTTTTTGAGTAAAGATACACGAAAACGAAGCAAAATTTCCGTATAGTTCATAGGAAAAATTTTATAGAGAATAGAATTTTCCATCGAAATGGCTTATTTAAAAAATTTTAAAGAAAAATTTTATGCACAAAATCGTTAATATAAACAAATTTAAAAAAGCAAAAAATATTTCTTTTTATTTTTTTTACTTTTTTTACTCTTATGTTAAAACGACGAAAATCTAAAAAATATTTAAGTTTGACCGGTTACAACTCAGTCAGTCCAAAAACTTTTGAAAACGCATTGATTTAAAGGGAATCTCATCTAGTTTTTTTGTACAGAAATTTTCTTTGCCTACTTCTACTAAAAAAAAAATAGAATAAAAAAGTAAAAAAATAAAAAAATCTTAATTTTTACTTTCTTTAAAATAGTTTATTAACGATTCTTTGCATAAAATTTGGTTTTTAAATTTTTTAAATAAGCCATTTCAATGGGAAATTCAATTTTTCCAATGAACTATACCGAAATTTCGATTCGATTTCGAGCTACAATTATTGAAAAACTGAAAGGGGTGCATTTTCACCCATATCTCCAATTTCCAGTTTTCACCCTTTAATTTAATAGCACTCCGCGGTTTTTTCATCTAAAACGATCCTTTGAACGGTTCATTCAATAAAATTGCTTGAAGGTCATAGTTCCTTTTAACCCTGTTTTTTTGATATAATCAATAGCCTAATTCAGTTCTTACTCCTCGAAAATGAAGATGAAAACAGCACTTAAATCAACCATGTGCAAAATAATCGATGTTAGTATACTAATGAATTGAAATGCATCTTTAATCAACTGAGGTAATTTTAATCTGCATAGCACAAAGAATTATATTCGAACGCTGTTATAGTTTCTAGTAAATAAGTAATGTGAACATTATTTTTATTTCTACATTAAACACCTACAAATAAACAGCATTCAATTTTTCTATTTATGTTTTCTGTAATGCAGTAGGGAATATGAATTATAAATCATTTTTTATTAAATATGGTTTCCAAGCGAAGAAAGAAAATAAATGTTCACTTCCCAGAAAAATTACATCCGACTGCATCCTGCCAAGAATACTAGAAGCCTTAAAAATAAATTTCTGTATTTAATGAATTTCTCGTTATTACTATAAAAAAATTTAATAGACTCGGCAGTACGCAGGTAATCTTCCCGTAATTACTTTTCCGAGCATTTAAAAAATAACCTTTTTTGCCATATTTGTGTGAAATACAATTTTTTGCGAAGATTCCATTAACTCCGTTGTTTCTCACATATGTTTCACAAAAAAAATGTTTGTGTTTTTGTTCCTTGAGAAGCAAATGCCTTTGTCATCATTATCTCAGTCGAACGTAAATCTGGTAATGGTAGATATCTAATATTTCTTCAATTTATTTTTAAACAAGTGTCTAAGTAAGCATGAAATCTATACTAGTATAATTTTAAGCCATCGCGACATTAAGGCGATTGTGACAGGCAAAATTATATTCTAAAATGTAGTAGCGCAGTAATAGGAGCTAAGGCAGTCGAAATGACATAGGCTTGACTCAACACTGGTCTGATTCTTGCTGCAGCAAGATCTGTACCGCGGATGCGAATTATTTATTTCCCTAACACAAAAATGTAGTATAAATTTATTTCACTGAAGTATTCCTCAG